TTCTGGAAAATTATCTTTTACTACTTTATTGGTGGCTTTCTACCCACCATGACTTCTCTCATTCTAGAATTATTTTAGTTGCCACATAATGAATTCATTTTCTAACCTTCTTATCTTTTAATTTTTCTGTAGATTTTCAAGTACGTATGTACTACTTTTTGTTACACTATTTAGACTTTTCTTTCCAGTTCTTTTATTAATTTTTCTAACTATAATATTTTTGATTCCCCTAGAGTTCTTTATTGTTATCTGAATACTTATTCAATCATCAAAGGAAGGAGGGACTTAGGTAATGTGGGCTTTCAGAAGCATCCATGAAACTGCCCAGGACGCAAAGCATCTGACAGACCCAGAGAGCCTGAACCAATCACAAAACAACCAATTCAGAACTTCCTGATTTTCTTCTCTCTCCTCTTCTCCTGGTTTCTAACTCTGTCAGAAACCATGGTTAGTTCACTGGAAGAGAAAAGATGGAAGCATAGGAGAGAAAGAAAGAAAACAACATACATTCTTAAACAATATGAGGTTGTGATTATTACACAAACTTGAATATTCTAATTTATTAATTGAGATATTGAGTTTTGTTTTATTAAGAGAAAATTGAGATCCACTGATGATGTACTTTAAAAATGCCTATAATAAACTCTAAACTTTGTTATCAGAATATTGGACTTATCAGGCCGGGTACAGTGGCTCACTCCTATAACCCGAGTACTTTGCGAGGCCGAAGCAGGTGAATTACCTGAGGTTGGGAGTTCGACACCAGCCTGACCAACATGGAGAAAACCTGGCTCTACTAAATATACAAAATTAGCCAGGCATGGTGGTGCATGCCTGTAATCTCAGCTACTCAGGGAGCTGAGAAAGGAGATTCGCTTAAACCCGGGAGACAGAGGTTGCAATGAGCCGAGATCGCATCATTGCACTCCAGCCTGAGCAACAAGAAACTTGTTGCTTTTTTGAAACTTCAGTCTCAAAAAAAAAAAAAAGAAAAGAAAAAGAAAAGAAAAAGAATATTGGGTTTATCGTAAAGTGCCAGATGGATCATAGGGACAAGATATTGGAGAAAAAGAGCCTAGGCAGAGATTGATAATATTTGTCCAGGGGGGAGATTATGAGACTCGACTTAGTTCAGTGGTCATTGGAGGGACCTTAAGGGATAAAAGCCAGGAGACCCTGCATGAATGAATCCTATGTCTTTGGTAAACCTTAATCTCAGATTTTTGGACCAGATTTTCATAGAAATTAGTGATAACCTCATCAAAGAAGAAATCTAGGAGGTGAATTAGAGAACACGGACATCGAGAGATGTGCTGACTGTGAGATGCCAATAGGTCTGAGAGAGCGTGTCCAGGGGTAAAATATAGGCCCAGCTCTGCTTCCCAGGTATCTTCCTGGGCCTCCCAGACAGCAGCAGCCCTTAGAGTCTTTTTTTTTTTCTTGGATTGTGGTTTATAAAAAAAACCATAAAATTTGTCACTTCAATCATTTTTAAATGCATAATTCAGTGGCCTTAAAGACATTCACAATGTTGTCACAGTATTTATTTCCAGGAAATTATCATCATCCCAATCAGAAACTCAACAGCCCTTAAAGAATGGCTTTTAATGCCCCCCTCCCTGCCCCAGCCTATTCAGTCTTGCTGGATTTCATGTCACATTCTTTTAATAGCAGCTCAGGAAGGAAGACCTTTCCACAGGTGGCCCCAATGTGATTAGCTGAATTATGGTGAAAGAGTGAGCACCTTGCAACTCCTAGTCTTTAAAGGCTATGAAAGTAGCTAAGGAAAAGTCCTCGAGGTAACAGCCCTGGTGATGCTGGGAGTCCTGTGAGTATCACAAGGGACTCTTGTCCCAGCTACTGCCTTCCCAAGTCACTGGATGACTTCACCCATAGGAGCTGAAGGTACAAGAATGGGGATGGCAGGGGCTCTACTTACAGATAGACACATATGCCCCAGATGGAGGCTGAGCATCACTTGATTTCGACAGCTTCCCAGTGGATTCCAAAACAGAGCCAGGGTTGAGGATCACTGGGTAGGGCATTAGTCATTCTCATGTTTATTAGCAGGAATAATCTTGGACCTCCTTAGGTACTAGGGAGGATGAAGTGAGAGAGAACTTGGAAGCCTTCCAACAAAATGCATATCAGGCTGGGCATGGTGGCTCACGCCTGTAATCCCAGCACTTTGGGAGGCCAAGGCGGGCAGATCACCTGAGGTCAGGAGTTCAAGACCAGCCTGACCAACATAGAGAAATCCTGTCTCTACTAAAAATACAAAATTAGCTGGGCGTGGTGGCACACGCCTGTAATCCCAGCTACTCGGGAGGCTGAGGCAGGAAATTCGCTTGAACCCAGCAGGCAGAGGTTGCAGTGAGCAAAGATTGGGCCATTGCACTCCAGCCTGGGTAATGAGAGCAAATCTCATCTCAAAAAAAAAAAAAAAAAATGCATATCAGGATGATCAATGAATAGAAACTTTTATTCGTTGTAAGCATTATAATAATGATTGCTATAATTTGTTGTGTGCTTTAAAGTATTAATTTATTTAATATGTTCTCACAACAATACTATGATATGCATCCCATATCACGGAAAGATAAACTGATAATAAAAGAGGGATGTCTATGTATCTGGGCACATATGTGTATAAAGATATAAGGTATGGGAATCCTAGAGCACTTCACAGAGGAGGAGACATGTGAAGTGGATTCTATAAATGAGGTTGTCAGATACCATAGTGAGAGAAGGCTATACAGGGACAGGGAGACCCATACGCACTTATGCAGGAGTGTGAAAAACATGAGGCCTAAGAAATGAGATATAACCAAGTATGACTGAGCACAGAGTGCCTGAGGGAAGAGGAGAGGAGGAGACAAAGGATCCCAGAAGCAGGGTCTTGGAAGTCCTTGTGTGCAACACAAGGGTGTGGACTTGCTTCTCCAGCAGAAAACCTCTCTGGTTTTCTCTCAGTGTTTTGAGAGCTCCATAAATTCTTGTATCTGCCGCACACAGCAGCACATGTTATGCCTGCTGATAGTAAGTTTCATATATTTAGGTTCTATGTTTAAGTGTACATAATTTCTGGTATGATTAAAATACACATTTCTTTTAAAAGCAATGTTTAATTAATAATAACTTATCTACTCTTCTGCCAATTGTATAATGATGCACTGTTATCATATAAAGATAGATTTGGGGTAAAAAATAATTTCCCTTACTTAAAACCCTTGAGAACCAGTGCCCTCTGGTCATTTAGAGTTGTTGACAGGAGAACAGGATCACGTTTTAAATGTAGGAGACTCGCTGTGGCATGAATGAGACAAATGTATTGTAGGAAGCCTTCACAGAGGCTGCAAGACAATTTAGGAGAATTTGGTCTGAGCTGGGAAGGACATAGACCACACTGTGATGTGATGGTGTGATGGGAAAGAAGCAAGTTGCGAAGGTGATTCTTGGGCAATGGAGGGAACAGAACATAGTGCACTGTTAGGAGTCAGGAGGGAGGGGAGCTGCCGTTGGCGGCCTCCTGCCCACCCTGAAGAAACCCACGTCCTAATCCCTGAAATCTGTGAATGTTCCATTACGTGACAAAATCTGTGAATGTTCCATTACGTGTGAATGTTCCATTACGTGACAAAAACAAAATCTGTGAATGTTCCATTACGTGACTTAGCAGACATGATTAAGTTAAGGACGATGACACGGGGTGTTATTCTGAATAATCCGTGGGGTCCCAAAACCCAACCTGTGTAGTTTGTGATTAAAAGTCAGAGTGGGTGGGGCTTGATATAGAAAGAAAAGGGGAAGGGAACCTAACATGGAGGCAGAGGTTGAAACGATGTGGTCACGGGACCAGGACGATTATCAGCCCAGAAGCCAGAAGAAGCCCTTAGTGAATTCTCCCCAAGAGCCCCCAAAGGGAGCAGGGCCCTGCTACCCACTGACCTCTTCACAGTGATACTAATGTTGGGCTTCTGACCCCGGAGATGCCTGACAATCAGTTGTTTTAAGCCACAAAGTTTGCAGAGTTTTGTCCCAGTAGCCACAGGACACTTGTGGCATCTCCCTGGGTCCTGGTCAGGGGACTTGCTGGGTGGGTGCATTAGCCTGGATGGGTTCATGGAAAGGAGAGCAGGCTGGGGGCAGACCCTGTGCTCCGTTTCACATCCTGCTCCTGAAATGACTGCGTCGGAGGGTGCACTGGGAGCTGTCCAATTGGCAGGGGTGCTGGTCTCTGGAGCTCTTGGGAGAACCTGAGGAAGGAAACGTTTGCCTCAGGTGCTGGTGAGTAATGCAGACACTGATGAGTGCTCTGAGTGTGGGGAGTGACACAATGTGAACTCCGGGCTGAAAACTGAAGAGGCCCCCAAATTGTGATAAATGGAAAATAAAGAATACTGGACGTGACGGGAGAGAAACCATAGTGCAGAGGTGGCACCAAGCAAGCTGACTGTGGGTCTGAGGGGACATCACAGTAGTCTCTACTGGGTGGTAACCCTGGGCCTGGACACCCATTCAGGCTGGGGGTTCCCTCAGTACAAGACCAGCAGGAACGTTTCAATTCCTGTGTCCTCATTACCACGGTTTTTATTCATGGCCGCAGGATGGAAAATCTGTAAGGAATGCAGGATAATTCCTATCACATATTTCCCTCGGTGACACCTGGACTCAGGCTCCATTGGTAACAGGACCCTGGTTCTCTGGAGTTAACTATCCCCACAGCAAAAGACCACTCCTCTATGGAGACCAACCTCTACCCAAGGCTTGAGACTGCAGGATTAAAACAAGACCAGTGGAGATGTGCAGGGCAAGTGATTTATTAAGGCAAGACGTTGAAACTTTTACATTCTGCATTGAAGAGCAGAGTATCATTGAAAGATGGTGGAAACCAGGATGAAAGTTTTTACATGTCACTTGTTACATTTCTCCACGATTTTCAACTGAAATAGAAAAAGAAAAAAGAAAGGAAGGTGGGGTCAGTCATTCTGCTGCTGGAGATGACAGGCTAACATCCAAGAGGCCAGTGGAATTCTGCCCCCGAAGGCGATTGGAAGGCCAGAAGCAACAACTCAGTTCGGGAAACTGAGGCCTAGATCTCGTGGCCTCACAGCACCCATGCCAGTGAGGGTGCAGCCTTTCCTCACCAGGGCAATAGCCCTGGAAGAATCCGAGAGGGAGGCCTGGGATCTTCATAGAAGGAAGAGAGGAGGTGTGGACAGAGCAGCCAGAGGTCATTGTCTGAGCTGTCCCAGGTCTTGGAGTCTCCTGTTTCCTGCAATGGGGGACCCAGGGCTGAGAGGCTGGTCAGGGCTGGGATGGCCTCTGGGAAGCCTGGCTTCCAGTAACCTCCAGCCTCCCCTTGTGGGAATTCTGCCTCAGGGCCCAGTCACTTCTCAGTCCTGAGCCTGTGGTTTCCATAGACATTTGCAGCTAAACCTCAGGACAGCAACCCAAAGGCAGCCAGGTTGAGAGGCCCCTGGAAAGCCTCTGATTTCTTGAGAAAGACAGAGTGAGAACATCCTGCTTCCATGGCACTACAGGAGGTAGAGCAGTGAGGGTCTTGGCCCACTGTGGTCAGGAGAGCCTCTTGGTGAGGAGGGGAGTATGTGGTCTGAGGAGCTAGAAGGGGCTCCTTCCTGGCTCTGCAGAAGCTGCAGAGAAGTCCAGCCTGCCAGCGCTGCATCTGTGGGACCCCCTGCTCTAGGTCTCTCTCTGCTTTCCTCTGCATGTTCAAAGCTCCCATCTCCTCAGGCCATTCCAGAGTGACTGTGTCCACTGCACGAGGGTAGCTTGGTCTCAGAAAAGCTCCCAGCAGGGAGGCACCCATGCTTGGTCCGTCACCATCCCTGCCTGGGCCCAGGCACACTCCCTGTGTCCTCAGCACACTCTAGGGACACGGCATCCAGGAAGGTGACCTGAGAAGGAGAAACGTGCAGGATGCTGTGTGCAGCTGAGTTTAATTCTGCAGGTGAAATGGTAGCACCCACTCTGTGGCCCCGAGTGACCTTCTCAAAAGGTGACCAGCTAGACAGGTACCCTATCACCTGCATCCCCCCCAGAGCAGCAAGCTGACCTCACTTCACACCGTGCAGCTGACCAGAAGCCTAGACACATAAAGGAGAAAGAAATTACCAGGGCTACTTCAAGTGGGCCTCGTTTCTCAAGGGACATCTGATCTATGCATTTCTTCACTTCCAACTTGGCTGCAACAGCTTCTGGAGGAGCATTAAATTTGGCAAGCTGTAACTTGAACGCAGGTTCGTCAATGAATAAGAAGCCCAATATCTCAGAAAAAAGAGCTGGGCAGACCACGGCGTTGGCTGCAGCACAAGAATAAAAATATAGTTGATGTTAGGAAAGTCGATTCTTCTCTCACGGCTCCCTGATGTTAGGCCAGACAGGATCCCCTGGGTTCTGTGTTCTCATGCCTTTGTTGTGCTGATGACAATCCCAGACCTCTAGGGGTGACTTACTTCCTCAAGGTCACACAATAAAGGGAGAACTTCGTATCAACAGCTAAACTCTTTCTCTCTCTCTCTCTCTCTTTTTTTTTTTTTTTTTTTTGCGACAGTGTCTCCCTTTGCCATCCAGGCTGGAGTGCAGTGCACTCAATCCCGGCTCACTGCAGCCTCCACCTCCTGAGCTCACGTGATCTTCCCACCTCAGCTCCGCAAGTAGCTAAAACTACTAGTGCATGCCACCATGCCTGGATGATTTTTTGTTTTTTTCTTTTGTTTGTTTTGTTTTGTTTTGTTTTGTTTTGTTTTGTAAAGCTAGGGTTTCACCATGTTGCCCAAGCTGGTCTCACCAGCAATCCGCTTACCTTGACCTTCCGAACTGCTAGGATTACAGACGTCAGCCACCATGCCCTGTCCACAGCTAGACTCTTTCGACAGAATTAATCTTTCTTGTTCCATTCCCATAGCCACTCTTGGCAGAAGCAGAAGCGCTAACCACCAGTGATAGGATGAGGCTCAGGGAGGGGGACCACTACGCCCAAGGTTAAAGGGCTGGGAAGTAGTGAGCCCAGATTCACCCCAGACCTCACATGATGTCATCTGACACAGATTCCATCCAGGAGTGAAGCTCAGGCAGAAGAACATTTGCCAGCACGGATTTTCTATAAAACTTCCTAGGTGCTGGGGAGTACCAGAAATAGCTCTGAACTTTATGAGGGGCTTGTTCAACAAGCACAGAAAAAGGTTCGGAATTTTGGTTTTGTACAGATCCCAACCCCAGCCTGAATAGGTGACCCCACGCTCAGAGCAGGGTGCTTCCCAGAGGTTGGTGCTGGACTTATGACTGATGATGTACTCACCCTGGTAGCAGCAAATGGCCAGCGTGACCAGCAGGAGACACACCGACAGCCTCATAGTGGCTTATTCTGCTGTGAGCTCAGCTTTCACAATGAGTGATTTGGACTCCACCCCAGGAGCCTATGGAGCTGCGGAGTCCAGGGCTATTTGTACCTAGGGAGCCTAGCTGGCACTGGCCACGGGGCCTGGCTCCCAGCCTGCCCCTTCTACCCACAGCTGCTGCCATCCATCAGGGTCACCTCCCAATGCCTCCCTGCATCCTGAGTGGGGCGGAGCACAGGAGGGCGGCCCTGTGGGAACTCTGCTCTGTGCTCCAGGTGAGTTCAGACACCTCCGGAAATATTCCCGGGATTCTCAGTTTCCTTCTGAGCTTTTGCTGATTATTTCTTTTTTTCTTTATATCAGTGCAGGGACACAGGTGAACTCTGACTTTGGCAGGCATAGGAAGCTGGAAGGCTGCGTTTTGGTTATGGGAGAGCAGGGATATAACGAGATCCTGCTTTGATCCCCCTGCATGTCTGGCAGCCAGCCACTTGTTTCAAGCACAATTGAGCAAGTCTAAACAAGACCTACCCTTCCCCTCAGCCTCATCCATCACTACCATGTTCACTGCATAGGTACCTAAAACATAGGTGAATGTTTGCCTAAAACATGCAAAACGGTACAACCATTTGGAAGACAATATGGCAGTTTCTTACTAAAGTGAGCATATCCTCACCATAAATTCCAGTAAGTGTGCTCCTTGATATTGACGTAAATTAGTTGCAATTTTATCTGTATACAAAAATGTGGACACAGATATTCATAGTGGTTTGACTGAAAATTGTTAAAACTGGAAAGCAACTGAGAAGTCCTTTAATAAGTACAGAGATTATTGACTTTTGGGACATACAGACAGTAAAAAATGATTCACCACCAAGAAGAAATGACAGACAGTGGAAGATGATTCACCACTACCAAGAAATGAACTATTATGCCATGAAAAGACAAAGAGGCATCTCAAATGCATAAGACTACGTGAAAGAAGCCAATCTGAAAAGGTGACCTACTGTAGGATTCCAATCATATGACATTCTGAAAAGCACATATGGAGACAAAGATTGGTGATTGGCAGAGGTTAGTGACGCGGGGGCACAAAAAGGGAGTGCACAGAAGATTTTAGGGCAGGGAAATGATTCTGAATTTTTTAAAAAATTTTACTTCCATAGATTTTAGAGGAACACGTGGTATTTGGATACACAAGTAAGTTCTTCAGTGGTGATTTGTGAGATCTTGGTGCACCCATCATCTGAGCAGTATACACTGAATCAAATTTGTAGTTTTTTTTTTTTATCCCTCACTCCCTCCCACCATTTCCCTCAAGTATCCCATGTCCACTGTATCATTCTTATGCCTTTGCATTCTCACAGCTTAGCTTCCACATACAATGTTTCGTTTTCCATTCCTGAGTGACTTAACTTAGAATAATAGTCTCCAGTTCCATCCAGGTTGCTGCAAATGCCATTAATTCATTCCTTTTTACGGCCATTGAATATATATACCACAACTTCTTTATCCATTCATTGACTTATAAGCATTTGGGGTGGTTCCATATTTTTGCAATAACAAATTGTACTGCTATAAACATGCAGTACACGCATGTTTTTTGTATAAGACTTCTTTTCCTCTGGGCAGAGACCCAGGAGTGGGATTGCTGGAAGTTTTACTCTTAGTTATTTAAGGACTCACCACACTGTTTTCTATAGTGGTTGTACTATTTACATTTCCACCAGCAGTGTAGGTGCTTTTTTTTTTTTTCACCACATCCACCCCAATATCTATTATTTTTTTATTATGGCCATTCTTGCAGGAGTAAGGTGGTATTGTATTGCGGTTTTGATTTGTGTTTCCCTGATCATTAGTGATGTTGAGCACTTTTATATGTTTGTTGGCCATTTGTGTATCTTCTTTTGAGAATTGTCTATGCATGTCCTTAGCCCACTTTTTGATGAGGTCGTTTGTTTTTTTTCTTGTTAATTTGTTTGAGTTTCTTGAAGATTCTGTATAATTGTCCTTTGTTGGATGTATAGATTGTGGAGATTTTCTCCTATTTTTGGGTTGTCTGTTTACTCTGCTGACTGTTTCTTTTGCTGTACAGAAGCATATTCATTTAATTAAGTCTCATCTATTTATGTTTGTTTTTGTTGCATTTGCTGTTGGGTTACTGGTTATGAAGTCTTTGCCTAAGCTAATGTCTAGAAGAGTTTTTCCAATGTTATCTTTCAGAATTTTTATAGTTTCAGGTCTTAGATTTAAGTCCTTGATCCACCTTGAGTTGATTTTTGTATAAGATGAGAGATGAGGATCCAGTTTCATTCTCCTGCAAGTGGCTTGCCAATTATTCCAGCACCATTTGTTGCATAGGGTGCCTGCCCTATGTTGGTGTGTACAGGTCATTACACATTTCTCAGAACTTACAGAATGTAGCACAGCAAGAGTGAACCTTAACATAAACTATGCTCTTTGGATGAAAATAATTTGTCAAGGTGAGTTTATTAATTATTTATATTACTCTGGGTTAGGGTATGACTAACAAGGAAGGCTGTGCCTATGTGGGGGAAGGGGTTAGATGTGAACCCTGTATTTTATCCTCAATTATTCTGTAAACCTGAAAGTGTTCTAAAAAATTATGCTTTAGAAAAATAAGAAAGAAGCAAATTGTATAGAAATATTCTCTTCTCACAAGAAAAATATCCTATTGAAAAAAGCTGAATCAATGAATTGTACACTATTATAGATAGCTGATCAACTTTGATGAAAATCTAAGACAATCTACTAGAAAACTTTCAAAAGAATATGAGTACATAAAGTTAGCTGAATGTATGATCAGAATACAGAAATCAATTGCTTTCTTGCAAACTAGCTACACCATTACATACCATAATGGAAAATGGTTCTTTGACAAGAATATAAGCAACAACAACAAAAATATGTTGAAATCTATCTGAGTAGAGATATGCAAGCCACTAATAATAAAGTCATGAAATATTATTCACAACATAAAAAGGAAATGTAAATAAATAAAGACACACACCTGGTTCCTGGAAGAAACAGTAAAAAATTCAAAGATGTCAGCTATGCTTTATTATTCTACAAATTCAATGTCACCTCTTACAGAATTCTTTCTTGCTTCTTATTTTAGGTTTGGGGTACATGTGCAGGTTTGTTACATAGGTCAACTGGTATCATGGGGGTGTTGTACAGATTATTTCATCACTCAGGTATTAAGCACATTTTTTCTCTCTCCTTTCACTCTCCACACTCAAGTTGGCCCCACTGTCTATTCACCTCTATGTGTCCACGTGTTCTCATCATTCAGCTCCCACTTTTAAGTGCGAACATGCAGTATTTGGTTTTCTGTTCCTGCATTAGTTTGCTATGGACAGTGGCCTCCAGCTCCATCCATGTTCCTGGAAATGACATGATCTCATTCTTTTTTTATGGCTTTATGGTATAACATGGTACATATGAACCATGTTTTCTTTATCCACTCTGCCACTGATGGACATTTAGATTGGTTTCATGTCTTTGCTATTGTGAATAGAGCTGCAATGAATCTATGCCTGCATGTGTCTTTATGGTAGAATGTTTTATATTCCTTTGGGTGTACACCTAGTAATGGGATTGCTGGGTCAAATGGTAGTTCTGTTGTTAGCTCTTTGAGGAATTGCCGCACTGATTTCCACAAGGGACAAACTAATTTATACTCCCACCAACACTGTATAAGCATTCTCTTTTCTCTACAACCTTGCTAGCCTCTAACAGAATCTTACTAGGGCAGTTTGATTTTTTGGTTTAATTCTGAAATGCTGTTTGGATCTTTCAAAATTAGAATGTATCCATGATTGAGGAGTGAGGAGATGCCCAATTTTGGGACCAGACTCTCTGGGTTGAAGCTCTGCCCTGGCATTTTCCACTTGTGAGTTCTTCAGCAAGTGGCTTAGCCTTGAAGCCATAGTTTCTTCATTTTTAATCTCAGGTGGTGAAAACAGTATCTGTTTCACAGGATTTACATAAGAAATGAATTAATGGAGGAAAATACACATCACAGTGTCTCAGCACCAAATGTCAATTTCTACACTTACGTAACTACAGGAAAAGTCAAAGAAAATCAATCACCTCTTTCTCAACAAAATATCAAACTGAAGCTAACTGATTCCTCCAACAAGGAATGTTTATTTACCGTAAGTGCTAACAAAGAGTGCTTCAGAATTTGGTTCTGGTTTCCTTAGGATTCTCCACAGTTAAGATCATTACTTTTTAATAACCTAATTTATTGTTTTATGGTTAGGTGAAAGTGACTATTATTATGATGTTGTTAATATGCCTTAAAAATGAGTCTTGGACCTAGGTCTACAGGATGGTGGGGGTGGGGTTACTGATCCCCAAAACACACAGAGTACTTGGACTCCTGTCCTCACCAGGATGTGTTGGTGCCGGTGTCCTTCTGCCTGAAGCTACTACCCAGGGATTTTCTAGGGATTGGCCTTCAAACAGGTGGACATCTTCCAGGAAAATGGAAACCTTAAGAGGATCAGTCGAGATTCTAATGTCCAAATACTTTGACTGTTGTAACCTGTGTGTTAGAGAAAGCACCACACTCTAAGTTCGAATCACGAGTCCTTTACTGCCAGCGACCGAGAGCTCACACTCAAAAATCTCTCGGCCCCGAGGAAGGGGCTGGATTCCTTTTTATACCATGCTTAAGAGAGGGGAGGGGGAGTCTAGCTGAAGCAGAATTTTACAGAAGCAGAGCAAGCAAGTTAGATAAGGAAGCTGGTAACTAGGAGGCAGGAGGCTCCCATGATTGTTGATTAACTAAGGAGGGTACACACAAGCGGTCCCCATGATTGCTCGTTACCAAGGGAGGTATTCAGTACTTGCTATACAATCAATCAAGGGGAGTATTCACAATAGCAAGTGGGCTTGTCGAGCAAGATATGGTTACAAAGCTTATATGCTTCTATAGTAGCATGACCCAACACAGTAGCATGACTCTGGCATGTACTCAAGAGAGAAATGGCGGGAGGGCTGAGGTGGAGGTTAAGTTGGAGTCTGTCTG